TTCATTCCTTTATAATCACTCATCGTCTTCCATCCCCTTTCCCCTCCCTTTCCTCCCTTTCCCTCTTTTGCTCCCTCGTTTCGCCTTCACTTAGCTCTCCGTTCGTCCTTTATTCAGTCTTTTTCTATCCTCTTTCTCTCTCTATTTCCCCCTCCCCTGCTTTTTTAGTTGTCTCTCTCACATCGGTCCTGTTCTTTGTTAATCCATTCCTGCATTCTTTGTTCCTTTCTTCCTTTCTACTCCTTTCTCCTCTATTTTATCCACTCTCCTCCCTCCCCCCCCCCCCCTTCTCTGTGCTTCTTCCGTCTTACAATTCTCCCACCTTTTTTCTCCTATCCATCTGTCCCTGTTTCCGATTCATTTTCTGCCCTCCGTCTTTCCCTTCCCTTTTCTTTCTTTGTCTCTCGCCCCGTTTTCCTTGTATTTCACTCTCGTTTTCGTTTCTTCACCTTCCGTCGTCTCATATTACCTATTTGCTCTTCCCTGTTTTATTCTGATCACCTCCCTCTGCCTTCTTTCTTTCCATGTCCTTCTCTTCTCAACCGTTCTGCTTGGTCTGTTGTTGGTTGTCTAAACACTCTGCTTACGTCTATACGATCCTCTACTTCTGCTGCTTTGGTTGGGCTATTTACCTTTAAAAAAGGGAAAAAAAAGGTGTACACCGCTACAATGGTCGGGACTCCGTACAGCTCGCGCGCTATCACACAGGCATAGAACCAGCTGGGCGACAGCCTCTGGCCACACTTTGTTGCTTTCTAGACGTGGTTGAGGTCTGATTCGTCCGGGTCCGGCCGTCATTGCAGTCTCAGCCGCATACCTAGGCTGCTAAGCCCAAGGGACTCCCCTACCATAGTGCTACACGGCCCCGTCAAAGTTTGGAGGGTAGTATGGTGAAAAGTAAGCCGGGCGGGGGGGTGGCGACGGGATAGAGGTGGGGGATAACATGTGCAGTCACCACACCCAGACGAGTGGAGTGAAGATGCCCTCTCACTCCCCTCGGTTGCGTTTCCGGGGGCCAAGTCCCACTCCCACCATTTTCCTGGACGCCTGAATCTGGACGTGTTTGTGGAGATGTGCGGTTGAAGAAACTTTATGCGATTTTCTGCACCTTTCACAAACACGTCCACATTCGGGCGTTGAGGAAACTCAACGCTGCTGGCGGGACTTGGCCCCGGTTATCGGCGAAGAAGTCGTCGTTGGACTTGGACGACAGTCCATACTCCGTCTTTGCTCGCCTTCTTCATTCCCCTTTCCGCCATCCCTCTTCCTCCCTCTCTCTCTCTCTCTCTTTGTGCTTGCCTCTAAATGCATTTCACAACTCCCTGGGAGATAATGAAGATAGGTTGTTTGGCCTCAGTTGTGAGCTGAGTTGTGGCCCAACCATGTTCTGATATCCTGATATCGGTTTCTTATCTGCGCAATGTTCTCAGCATGAAGACAAGATGTGCACATCAGAAAAGCAAAAACAAAAAAAAACTTCAGCTTAACGTTTCCATTCTTTAAATTATTACGAGAAATCGCGGTGCTACGCCGCGTTTCACTGTGCCGCTGGGATGGAGGGGGGAGAAGGGAGTGAGGGGTTACCTTTCACATGAGGAGAAGGAAGGCATCGTAATCTTTATGGTGTCTTACTGTTTGTCTCCTTCCCTTTTCTTTTTTGC